ATTTTCTATTCATTTTCATGGATAATACCACTCTGGTTAATAGCTGGTTCTAAATATAATGGTTAAATTTTCAAGGTCTTTGTTCTTTATGCGAATTCCTCAAGCAGGGTGGCTATAAACGATGTAAATCCCACATTTTCCTTAGAATGCGTCTGACTGCCAGGAATTGGGGTCAGTAATGACAGCAACACTGTAGCAACTGAGGTCCATTCTGTAGGTCTGTGTGTAATATTTCTGTTTGTTAATCTGTAAGTTCAGACAAAATTTTAAGTTGTGTGTACATATCTCCTATTGTAATCTGAAGAGGCCCCAGAAAGGCAATACTTTACTCAGCTTTTCAAGCACGATGCATTCTCTAATTTGGTTCTGAGAACTTGAATCTATCAGTGGAAAGGTGGGATCATGCTCTTTTGAATCTTGTGATTTGATGTTTTCTTCATTTAAAACACATTATCCTCTGTAAAACCCTCTGATCCTTAAGTATGCTATTTCCATTTCTTTTTTCAAGTTCTCATACTTTGGCAGTGGTTTAATGGCAGTATCTGAGGCCCTAAAAGGCAAAGACTCGTCGAAGCTGTCCTGAGAGTCCCACAAGGCAGGAGACCGACTACCCGGGTCAGAGTTTATACCATCTTCACCAAGTTCTTCTTTAACCAGAGGGCTAAAGAGGGTTTCTGACACACAGAAGCAGAATCCTGGACATGCAAAAACCTCAAAGTTGCTTCTGTCTTCCATTCACCTAAAGAATCCTCAGACATTTCAGTAAGGTTGCCTTTGCAACTGCAGGATACAGGTGTATTGAGTTAGAAGCTGACCTAGAAACTTGGTTGGATTTGGCAACTTTCCTCTTGAAATACTCAGCACTTTTATTACTGATGCCTACTAGAGTTACTTCTGAACTATTGTATTTTTTTTCCCAGAAATTTCTGAAACTTCTGATTTTTCTCCCAGAGGACTATTTGAAGAAATCTGAGTATTTTTACTTTCTCTAAAGGAAGTTCACAAACGGCAGCTTTCTCCCGACTGTCTAATCTGCAGTCGCCTAACTGCTCAGTAACATCGAGTACCATCTGGTCTTTGTCTGCTTGCTTGACGGTGGCTTTTTGACCAGCATTCTTTTTCATGATGCTTTTTTCTTGTGCAGCTGTGGCTTGATACCCCACTGCATTTGGTCTGTTTCTCAGTAGTATGGAGAAAACAAAGTCTTGCTCATTATCACTGCTGCTATAACTATGAGTAGCAGAAGAAGTAGATGTGTACTGTTTTTCAAAATGGCCAGGATTGACAATGTCTGATTTTTTTAAAAATTGTTTTTCTTTATTGATTTTAGAGAGAGAGGAAGGGAGAGGGAGAGAGAAATCGAAATATCAATGAGAGAGACCATCGACTGGCCACCTCCTGCATGCCCTCCATGGGAATTGGCCCCACTACCTGGGCATTTGCCCTGACCAGGAATCAAACTGGTGACCTGTTGGTGCATGGGTCAATGCTAAACCACTGAGCCACGCTGCCAGACAATATCTGATGTTTTAACGGCCTTACTGCATAACTGTACTTGTTCTCTAGAATGGCCACTTAGTACTTCCTGTAGCAGCTGAAAATCATGATAACTTTCTTCTTCTGAGACCCATACTGGAGTTTTAGGAATTTGAGCTTCTAAAAACCTAGATGCTTTATAACAAAAATTACTGCAAAAACACTTTTTTTACCCCCAGTAATATCGTAGACTATATTGGTTTTGGTAGAAACTTTATATTTCTGCTTTGATACAATTCCTAGCTTCTTGTGACATCAGGGATAACCACAGAGCTTGATGATAGAATGTTCATTCACAACATCGCTGCAGGAGCAGGTGTGATAAGCTTGCCATACTCCCTTGAGAATCCTTCGGCAACATTCTCTTGTAGAAGCTGTTCAACAATATGTAGAGCTGTTCTCTCAAATTCAGTCTCCTTTCTCTCAGTGTCTTCTAGTTCTGCTTTCCTTTTAGATGCATCTTCTTGTGTCAAGGTACTTGTCTGTTTAGTACCTACAGCATTTCACCTGGGGAGCCTCCTCAGATGGCCAGGACCCACCCACGGGTCTCCCTTGAGGCTCTGCTGCTCCAAGTGTAGCTCAAGGCTGGGAGGCAGGGGCGGGGCCCGGAGAGACCAAATTCAATATTGAATCAATTCATCTTCTTTCCCTTTATATCTTTTTTATGAATAAGCAATAGCTTATCCCAGATTGTAATGTCTTAGTTATTTTCTATTGGGTATCTGAGAAAAATGTTTTACCTATCGTCAGGATGATAGAGTTAATTCTTTAGTATAATGAAATGTTTATATGTACAATGCTGTCTTTACCTGGGTTCTGATTAACTTATTTCAAAGCTCAGTAGAAGGGTCCTGTGTTGATCTGGTATTAACAATTCCTATTCAAGTTAAAAATCTGCAGTAAAACTTCAAACAAACTAACATCCTGGCTCTATTTTAAGCTCACCTTATATAATCTAAGTCTCATGCTCTGTAAGCCCTTAAACATTTTTGAGCAACATGTGTCTTTTCCACATGGAGAAATTGTGGCTCTGAAGGCTACTTGCTTCTCAAAATTCATCCAACGATAGAGTTAGAGCCAGAATTCACAGTAATCTCTGACAAATATTGTGGCCTGGTTAGTTGTTATGTTGTGAATCCACTGAGCTGGGAGTGGGCGAGATGGATTAGAAAGTAAGTTTCAAAACATGCAGAGGAAAATAAAAAGGTAATTAATAAATATTTGTTCAATGAAAGTGACAACACAAGGATAATCATGTTGGTTAGTGAGTGTTAGGTTCAGTAACAGAAAAAGCGAAAAATTCAAATACCATTTTAACTTTCTGTGTACCCCTTCATTTCAACAGACTATTTTTCCTGGAAATTTAGGGTTGGGTCCTACCTCAAATCCTTGATGCTATTATTATAGAATAAAAGCATCTTAAGAAAAGAAAGTCAAAGACACCCACCCCTGAAGCCTCACCTTTAGTGTCCAGGAAATAGTCATTGCTCAGAAATGTGTTTCTAGATGTGGCCATTATTTAGTATCATTCCGCAAGACAACTTAGCTTGACCTGAAGGCACAATGGACCACTGGCCACTTTCTCTCCTCATTGCTTCTGCCATGCCCTTCCTTCTCTCTTTATTACCACCATCCGCCCCTAGCGAAAAGGTTTTGTTACTATTTCTCTTTGCTTACTTTGTTGGGTCTGTTTTTCTTATTACTCATGAAAATGAATAAAATACATTTTATTAGTTGTGAGGAAATAACAACTTAGAATAAATGTCATAAAGTTCTAGAGCACTGATTGCTGATTTATGTTTTTTGTTGCATGCTGAGGAGGAGGCCTACAGCTCGGTGGCACTCCAGGGCTCTGGTCATCCCTCAAACTGGACCTCATCAAATAGCTCAGGCAGCCCATGGGAAGCACACTGGGGAAGGTCACCAGAGCTGACTTGTCTTACGGGTCATGGTTACTTGTGAGGACTTCTCCATTGTGCGCTGCACGTCATGGTGCCCTTCCCCTCATTGAAAGAATATTTTTAGATTTAACTTCCTCATTTTCAAACATTAACAGTTCTTTTCATTCCTTAAGATTCAAATCAAAATGCTCTTTCATTCTAGATTCCAGAAACACCTAGAAGATGTGTCTCTTCTGTGATCTCCGAAACTTCATTTACAGCCCCATTTCATCTGGTCTCACGTAGCTGTCCTTTGTATCGATGTGTTTCTCAATTGATATTGAACAACTTTAAATTGGATATAGGGCTTTCTCTTATTTCATTCTTTTGTAATTCTACAGAGTGCCGTCCTGTGTTACATAATAACATAAGAGACAGTTATGTGACTCAGTCTCACCCTAAAATCATATTAGCTGATTCTCTTGGGTTATGAATATCTAAAATTGTACCTGCCTCACTTAATCTGAAGAAAAAAGGAAATTAGACTCTATTGTAAAGTATGTGAAACCCATTTTGGTGGAGCAATTCCATTCAACCTGGTAGCTTTTTTCATTGAAGTAAAATGGACCAAAGCCAAATAGGAAAAATTGCTTTATATTTTGGCACTTGTGCTACCTAGTTGTTTTTCTTTTTCTTTTTAACAGAATGTCTCCCAAACCAAGTACAGAGTCACCTAACTCCATTATTTTTTTAAGTGCATTATTCATTTCTTTTTTTTTTTTTTTATTGATTTGAGAGAGAGAGAAAGTGAGAGGGAGAGCGAGAACATTGATTGGCCACCTCCTGCATGCTCCCGCCTGGGGATTTAGCCCACAACCTGAGCATGTGCCCTGACCAGGAATTGAACCAGTGACCTCTTGGTGCATGGGTTGATGCTCAAACACTGAGCCACACCAACAGGCCATTATTCATTTCCTAATCACTGATTTTCTTTCTCTTTCTTTCTCTCTATTTTCCTTCCTTCCTTCCTTCCTTCCTTCCTTCCTTCCTTCCTTCCTTCCTTCCTTCCTTCCTTCCTTCCTTCCTTCCTTCCTTCTTTCCTCTTTCTTTTTTAGTAAGTCATATATATGCTAATGGCTATTAAAATAAAATCCCTCCTCATATACCAACTTCCAAAGGACATTTTCTCTTAAGGCAAATACCATGCTATAGACTGGATGCCACACAATCAGAGATATTCTAATAATATATTGAAGAGGAATTGTTCTGAGCTCAAAGTGCTTTGGGAACAACTAAATGCATCTGCTGTAATTGTTAATCAGTCACTCCATTGTTCAGAGAAGCCGATGACAGTATAAGCACCCTGTAAGTATTTTGTTCAGAAGAGGAGAGGTAACATAAAGAATCTAAGGCTAGGGTCAGCTCACAGGTTGATTTAGCAGCACTAGGAACCTGCTGTTTTGCAGACATTTGCAATGGTTCTATTATGTAATGGAAAAATGGTTTTCAAAGATTTACGGTAAACACTTGCAGTAACAAAAATAAATTGATTAAGAAAAAGAAAACCCTTTCTAGTATTCTCACTTGGAGGTAGATCCTGCATTTTGGGGATACAAAAGTACTCCTTGAAGTGCCTCAGCTTATCTTCCTCATCGAGACGGAGGGCGACCCTCTCATCTGTAGGGTGACATCTAAGTTCAGACGCCACGCGTTGCACTGTGTCAGCCGGTAACTCAAGAGGTAAAGGCTCCATTACAAGTTGTGCTCTAAAAATGAAAACAGAAATTTAAAATAATAAAGCCACTATCATTTTCTGTAGAAAATTAGCTCTTTGGGTGAAACATTTTTTTTTTTTAAACTAAGATTCTCATCTTCCCAACCTCAGAAATAATATTGTTATCCAAACAGCATTGAAGTGTACCCCTGAATTTTTCTCATGTATAAAACCACAGCAACAAAATAATAGTCACTTAGGGATATTGGAAGGATTGGATTAGGTAATTGTACTCTCAATAGATGCTAGTTCTTCTTATTTTTATTTCCTGAAAAATGAACCAAATTAGTGGTTGTCAAACATATATAACATCACCTTTTCCTCTAGATGACTTACCAGAACGTAACAGTTGAAGGTAATTTTGTGGGGTGCAGGAAAATAGTGCCCCACCCACCTTGTTCTTCCTATCCCACCTCCATTATCCCAACCCCAGAGATTCTTAGATCTAGTTTTAAAACTATGGAGATACACACAATAAAACCTTAACAGATTCTTTACTGTAAATGAAAATCATGTTGCTAGAAAGGTAACTTTGAGTAATATTAGTATTTTTTTGGCATCTGAAGACTAAAGAGATCTACTTCCTGCTGATAACGAGAAACTTCTCTTTCCCTACCATGCACATATCTTAGAAAAGACTCTGGTGTGTCTTGAAACCACATTCTACTCTGCATAATCATCACTGAACAGTCCCCATCTTTCTGGAAAGAAAACTTAACCTTTTTGAAGGAGATAAATAACAATGGAAATTTAAATACATACATTTTTTAAAAGGTGATTTAAGATCTAAGGTTTTTAAATATTTTTTTATTGATATTTTAGAGAGAGAAATGGAAACATTGATGTGAGAAATCTCTATCAGCTGCCTCCTGCACACCCCCTACTGGGGATCAAGCCAGCAACCTGGGCATGTGTACTGATGGAGACTTGAACAGAGACCTCTCAGTCCACAGGATGATGCTCAGTCCACTAAGCCACACCGGCTGGTCTAAATACATATTTTAAACATCACCCAAGTTTTATATGTTTTCTTATATTTCTCAAAGTTTCAGTTTTTTGAACTTGAGTAAGAATTGTATTTGAGAGAAAAAAGTGTGCTTTCCTTAGGCTAGCTTGATTTACATATGTTTACATTGGCTGGTTTCACTTCTGTATTCCTCATTCATTTTCTCTTTCAATAAATATTTATTGAGCACCTACCATGTTGCACCATGCAGTGTGAAACAACAGTGTATAAGACAGTATATACATAGTGACTTTTAAGGGGAAGAATAAAAAATAATTAAATTATATAATTTCAGATAGTTTCAACATCTATGAGTAAACACAGCAGAGTAATGGGGTAGAGAGTCACTAGGGATGGGATAGTTATTGGGGGCTCAAGTGTATCTCTTTGGGGCAGGGGTATGTGATCACTTCTGGACAAGAGGTGGACTGGAGGAAGGTAACAGCAGGTGCAAAGGCCCTGAGCTGGAGATGGACTTGGCCTGTTTAACTAATGCACTGAGAGAAGTAAAGGGAGGTGGGACTATGATGAATGAGAGACAGAGACAGAAATCAGTCATGAAGAACTTTAAAGGCCAGAAAGGAGTTTATATATTTTTCTAAGTTTAATAGGAAATCATTGTAATTACCTTAAATCGAAAAAATGATATGATGTAATTTTACATTAAATAAATATCATTTTTGTTCTGCTTTCTGGTGACTTATTAGTTAACAAGAGGGGTAAATTAAGGCTATTTTAACAGTTCAGGGGGAAATGACAATAGCTTAAATGTGGTGAGGGAAAAGGTAGAGAGAAATATCTGGATTTATAATATATTTTGGAGAGAAAGTCTAGATAATCTATGATACAGAAAGGAAAGTAAGTATTCATCAGCGCTGGAAGAAATACCTAGGGAAGAAACATACTGAGGAGGAAGATCAGAGTTCTATTTAGGACATAGAACTTTAAAATAAATACTGACTATCCAGGTACAAATATCAAGCTGGCTCTTGAATAATTAAGCTCATGGGAAAACTGGATCACAAGATATATGCTTGATACTTCTCAACTCAGAGAGTGTGCTTAGGCCTAAATGCCTGGGCACCAACTCAAACGTACATAGGCTCTAGAATAGCGACTTAATTTTCTTTCTTCCACTCCCCACTCTCCTTCCTCTTACACACACGGTGTGAGGCGGTCAAGAGCTACATGTCTGTGTTTATACAGTGCCAGTAGAGTAAACATTCTTCCTGTCCTCTAAACTTACATTCTTCTGCTTATTTGACACCTTCCTTTCTCAGTCGCCAGTGGTCTCCCCTGATGAGCCATCCCTTATATTCCCAGAGAAGGATCCCAAGCTTCACCTGAGCATGTGTTTTAGTTTTAGCACCAGTAATGGCTCAGCTGCTACAATTCATGCTTTTGTACAAAAGTCAAAAATTTCACCATTGATCTTGATGGTTCTTTTAATATCTGACCATACTAAATTATTACTTGTTCTCTTCATGGGATTTGTTCTCTCTGTGGTTTTTCTTAGGCCATTCCCTTTTCCCCAAAATGTTCTACTTCCCCTGAACACATTCAGATCCTAGTCATCCTTCTGTGTCCTGGCTCACATGTGACATTTTCATGAGACCTGTCATGATGTCTCAGCTAAAATCGTCTTTCCTCCTCTGAACACCTATAATACTTATGAGCACACATCTTGTAATTGTAATACATTCTGTCAGGTACTGTATTTATTTAGATTCATATGTGAATGGGAAAAATCAAACATGCTTGTCATGCTGACAGCTTGATTCTAAATGGGGTCTACCTATAGTTTTCTAACGAAAGAAACTGCCTTCTGAGTAGAGATGACTGCAATTCTACCACTTGACATTATTACTTGCCTGGTCATCATTAATTAGACCTCTCCGGGACACTTGACCCACTAAAAGACAATGGTTTTGTCAATGGTCTGAGAATGATTGGCTGTGAAAGCTCTGGCCAACCAATCATGATGGGTTTAGCCAAGCATATAATCAAATTCATTCAGGAGTGAGCTGTGAGATACAGTTCTTCATTCAGTTAGACACAGGAGCAAAATTTAAAAGAGACACAGAGACAAGCAATAAAATGATACAGTATAGGAGGAGTATTGTCAGGAGTGACTCATTTTGCCGAGACATACAGAACCACCGAGTGTTAAAACACAAAGTGATTCCGGCAGTAAGTAAGGGTCACTGCTAAAGAATAGCTGAATGGAACAGCTATGTCTCCTGAAAGCATGACAGGACAAGTCAGTCTGGAGAGTCATCGCATCGTTCTATACCACCAACTACGTGGAATGCCTGGGGGGCTGCTTGCTTTGCTGTTCTAAAAACCCCATGAGCTCTTTTTCTGCCTTATTATCAAGTCTGCCTTGACTATAAACCCATTACTTATGGTAACTTGATTCAGTTGCTGGTCTATCCTACTGAAGTGTATTCAACCTGGAGGGTCTGAATTTTGCTTAATTTATCTTTATAGTCACCCCATTGCTGAGCAGTGCCTTTTAGACAGGGTGTTCTTCCAAATTAGCAGTTGAATAAGAATACACACAATAGCTGGGTAAATTATTTGAAATGACTAATGACATGTTACTAGAGGGATACCCTTTCCCATTCCAACTTCATAGGGAATAGGGAGCACTTCCAATGAGACTCAGCCAACAGAGCTTGTTTCATATTTGGGACTTTCTTTGGAGTCAGCATCTTGAGAGTTCATTGGGGTTAGCTCTAAACTCTAAGTGGGGTTACCTAAATTAACATACAGATTACTTTGTTACCGTCGCATCCCAGTAAAATTCAATTTTCCTTATTTAAAAACATATTTCTATTCATTCATTAGCCTCTTTGTATTTGTTTCTTATTTAATTCTTATCATAATCCTGAGGGATCAGTGTCATTTCCCCCATTTGGGGGCTACATTCTGGAATAAACAAAGTAGAAATAGAAACAGAAAGGTACTAAAGGTCACCCTAGGAAACTGCACTTCGCCTGAAGAGCTGAGTCGGTGGTGCCTGCAGGTCATGGCACTTGGGTGAATGTGCAGAGACTGGAAACTTTCACTATATTTTTACTTGCCTCTTGCATCCTAAAGCTTTTTTTTGTTTGCTCATTTTTAGTATTTCTTCAGTCCATTCCTTTTATCTGCCCTTATTTTTTATTTCAGCCCTGTACTCACTCTGCAAAGCCCCACAGGCTATGAATCCATCTATTCTTTTTTGTAAGTTTTGAACATTTATGGATTTTAAAGAGGAGTAGAAGGTGTAGAGAGAAAAAGAGAGAGGAAAAGAAAGAGAGTGAGAGAAAACATCAACTTGTTGTTCCACTTATTTGTGCATTCACTCATTGACACTTGCATGTGCCTTGACCAAGGATCAAACCCACAACCTTGACATACAAGGATGATGCGATGATGCTCTAACCAACTTAGCTACCAGACCAGGGCTCCATCTACTTTTTTTTTTTTATCTTCACCTGAGGACATTTTTGCATTTATCTTGAGATAGAGCGAGAGGGAGAATGGGAGGAAGAAAGAGAGAAACATCGATGTGAGAGACACCTGGAGTGGTTGCCACCCACAGGATCCCATCCGGGCCGTGGACAAACCGAGGTACGTGCCCTTAGCGGGAACCAAACCCGGGCCACTTTGGTCTGTGGGCCGAGGCTCCAGTCGCTGATCCAAACCGGCTAGGGCTCCATCTACTCTTTTTAGTTAATCCTTCCCATTCAGTGCCCATGATACCACAATGCCCTCACTACAAGGAAGCAACTTGTAAACTCATAATTATTGCTCTTTAATTCTATATTCAACCCACCAGCTAATATAATTAGTGCTTTGCAAGCCATAATTTTATGCTTTGTTTAGGTTTACCTTTTGCAAATAAATTGACATGCTGTTATTTTTAAATAAATTCAGTTTAAGTTAAACAAAACTCCAAATCTTATATTTTACATATTTAGTGCTAATTTATGAAGAACGTGGACATATACACATTTGGTATTGGGCAAGTCACCTAACCTTTCTGTATTGCAATATCACATAAAAGTAAGTCAAATATTACTTTCTTCAGAGAATCATGATTAAGATCAAATAAAATTAGTGAAGTGAAATATTTTTTAAAAATGTCAAAAGACATTTTCATAATATATTTCAATATTAATAACTTGTGATGAAAATTGCCATTTACCCTCAACTAAGCTTTGGAAATTTTGAAAATTGTATTTTCACAATTTCATTTAGACAGCTACAATGTCATAGTTAAACATTTTATAATCATAAAAATTGATTTTTCTGTGGAATCTTGGATCAGAATCTCCTATTCACCCATGGTCTAAGGTTAAACAGTTAAATAAATGACTATTGAGTACTCAGTGGTTAATTTTTACACAGTTTCAGGGTCACATTCCAGAAATGAGTGAATTGTACACATGGGTTCAAAATTTAGAACCTGGTAAAACAAATTATAAAGGAAGTTTGCAGCTTTTCATGGAGAAAGAAAAAAAGAAAATCTTATTTAATATACATAGAACAACATTACCTTATCATTATTTAAGAAATAAGTGACATTACTCTGTCTCAACTGCATATTTCATATCTAAGATTATATTCATTACATACTGAGCTTAACATTAATAAAATCAATGCATTTACCCCAATTTACTAGCTATATAACACCCTACTCTTTACAGAATAAAAGTAGGAAAGAAAAACAAATGAAAAACCTTTTAGCTCTGTAGAAAAAGTATATCAACTTTCTATTCTTAGGCAAATACTTCAGAAAACGAAAGGGGAAGCAACCTGTTAAAGAAATAGACATTTTCACTTCTCTAAATACATATTTAATGACTAATAGCACCATAAGACAACTAGGGAGTTCCCAGAAAACAAAGGATTTAAGTTTATTTAATTATCTGAATCTTTATCTAATTGTACCATTTAAACCAAAGTAAGTACAAGATTAACTTTAATTAATCAAAAGTACTTATCTTTTAGTAGATGAATCCAATGAACTATTGACATGAATTATTTTTCACTATATTGGTAAAACCTCTTTATTTGATATAAAATTTTACGAACTATAAAAATGATCTCTGGAATTTTAAAGGACCTGCCATTAGGAGACTACTACTTTTATTGATGTAATTTAGAAGTTAAAAAGAAGAAGAACCCGGCAGAAGAAGCTTCTAAAGCCCTGTGACCAGGGTCCTAGCAGAAAGAATACCCCTTCATTGAAATCACTGAATAGATTTGTGTAGGGTGTGTGTCAGTGTCTCAGTGCTTACCGGCTGGCTGGGATTCCAATGGGGTTCACAACTCCGGTCTCCTTTCAAAAAAGAACAACAAAACCACAAAGCTCTCAGGAGTTCTTTGTTGATTTATAGATCAGACCTCGGGTGAGAAATGTAAGGCACTCCTGCTCAGACTCCACCCTTCCGGGAATTTGTGGGCTAACTTTAGTTCCTCCCACTCTAGCGAATGCAACTGTAAATCCCCAGGCACACACTTAAGCAAAGTGCTGCGCTTGCTTCTGCCGCATACCCGGGGAGCTCGCTTCGGGCTCTTCCCTCCAGGCAGCTCTGCCCTTTGGACTCCAGGAAACACTTCCTTGGCCTCCGACACAGATCTCTGGGCCTGTGAGTTATACCCTATAACAAATAATCCTACAAAGCAAGTAGGGAACCATTGTTTTTGTGTGAGCTGAACCAAAAAGTTTCTCCAGGAGGCAAATTCTAAAAGTTCCATCCCTTCCTTCCTTTGGGCAAAGTAGACTAAGGACTAGAGAAATGTTTTTTCCAACTCTGCAGATGAGGGAAGCTTGGATTTTTGAGGCAGTGCCCCACTGACAAATGCAGGGTGAGTTTCCGTGTTGAAGGCGGAGTTTAACATTTAATGGATAAACATTTTAGTCAAAACCTTAAAATAGGCTCTGGAATATACTTTGTTGCCCAATAAGTGTGTTTTAAAAACTCCTAGATCATAAATCTGGATAGATGACAAGACAATCAAAGAAGAAAAAGTTTGAAGATCATGGTGAAAGTCACCTAAGAAACTTCAGTCTTTTGATGAATGTCCTTTTAGTTACAGAACCAAAGATCAAAGAGTTTCAGAATTAGGACCAAAGATAGAGAACCTAAATAATTGATCCACCTTCATACACCTAAGTCTTGTTGAGCTCCCACAACACCTTAGGTGAAGCAGCATTTGATGCAATCATATGTACCATGTGTTTGCTGTATAACCATGGACAACTCAACTAACTGTGCCGAGGCTTAGTACCATGCCTTTCAAATGGAGATAAGAAGGTCCCTTTCCTCACAAGATTACAAAGATATTAAAAAAAAAAATGCATGTAGAAAGCCAGCATACCAAGACATGCAAGACACTGGATAACACATTCTTTTTTAAAATTTTATTATTATTATTTTATTGTTGAAAGTATTATAGATGTCCCCACCTTTTTCCCCCAGTGGTCCCCGCCTCCCCCCTCCCACCCCCTCCTGCTTTCCCCAAACTAATGTCTGAGTGCATTGGTTGTGCATATTTGTTTTTTAATTATCCAGACAAAAGTACTGCCCTCCTATCTCTAAGGGAAGAGGATAAAACATATGTAATTACTTTTTCTTTTTAATTGATTTTTCAGAGCGAGAGAGAGAGACAAAGAGATCGAGAGAGCATGAATGTCCCAAAGGTGCCAGGCCAGGGACCAAACCAAGGAATTAGGTTCCTGCGGAGCCCTGATAGGTATGTTCCCTGAAGGGGAATCAAAACCCCGCCCCCTGGTGTACCCGAGGAGGCTCCACCCACACCAGCCAGGGTTGCATGCAATCACTTTAATACAAATAATTAATTAGTAAAAAGTAAATATTTAATCTGATCAGTCCTGTTCTTACAGTAATCCTGTGGAGTAAGTACGTTATGCTCATTTTGTTCAGTTCCAAGTGCAAAACTTTAAATCTAGTCAGGGTGCCTCAAAATTTGTGCCTTTTTTTCTTCCCTTCTTTCTTTCGTTCTTTCTCTCTTTCTTCCTTCATTTTTTTTTTTTTTTTTTTTTTAATGTTGCAAGAACTTTGGGGGATTTGCCAAGTTTGCATATCCAGAAAGTGAGCCTGAGGGTGGAGTCTGTGTCACTGCTGGTGGGAGAATGTCACTCCTTTAATTGCTGACTTGCTGACGACAAACATAAAACAGAAATAGAGACAGAGACCTACATAACAGGTTCTTGCTTTCACGTTGTTTCTTTTGAAATCTTTGTTTTGTTGCTGTTGTTCCACTTATTATTTATTTATTTACTTACTTATTTATTTAAAATGATAGCTTTCTTGTCTGACTTTTATTATTTTATCTTTATTGTAGAAAGTATTGCAGATATTCCACTTTTTTCCCCCATTCACCCCTTCTCCCCGCTCCCGCCTCCTCCTGCCTTCCCCACACTGTTGTCTGTGTCCATAATGATAGTGTTAACAACTGTTCCATCAAAGTGTTATCTTGAAAAACTATTATTTTAACACAGTCACTTTTAAAGGTTTGCTTGCAGGTCTAAGCTATGCTCCTACTTTTTATATTGGTAATTTAAAAAAAAAAAGTATTACCTTTAATCATTTAAAAAATGTATTCAGCATATTCTTTGCAGTAGGTACAAAGCTAAATGCCAGGGACATGCTGTTGAGCAGACCCTTTGTAATAGGTCCATAGCCCCTCAAAGTGTAAAGCAATTGTGGTGAAAGCAAAATCCTCTGTGGTCAGCTGTGGAGGAAAAGGAGAGAAGAGAGAGAGCTTCCATTCCTTCTCTTTTGGAAATAGGAAGAAGAAAATATTGCCAGGACAATACTGGTAGCAATTCAGAGCTGTCTGTTACTTTCCACGAATGTCATCTCGCTTCTAACATATATCTCTGAGCGGTGGAGACTGATTTTATCCCCCTCAAAGCCTTGCCCATGAATAGAGCTAAATAAATATCAGTTGACATAGTTCATTTTTTCAAAAAAAGATTCCATTCCTTCCATCAAAATGAATGATAAAGATTTTAAGGGAATTTCTGTTCTCCTACAGGGGAATTTTTAAACTGGAAACTCCATCTTAATTGTTCACAGTTTATTTCCTATAGGTAGGCCATTGTCTGGACTCTAGTGGACTGCAGTGGATGTTTGCTGTATTATTCACCAAATTAAATGTCATGGAACAAATGTTTCCAGAAGACTCCAAGGCTACAGATACACTGCGACTCTCGTTCTGAATGCTCCATAACTAAAAATGGGTAAGGACACTGTGTAAGTAAAAGTGGGTGACGCTTGGTAGCCAGTTCAGGTCCCGTGATTAAAAGTGTTTTGTAGAAGTGAAAGAGAACTACAACCTCAGTTTGAGGACAGACGGATGGAAAGCTGCATCCTCAAACGTGGGTGCTGAAGGGTAACAAAACATACTACCCCAAAATATGACTAGGAATTCAGGACTTGCCACCCCAAAACATGTCCCTTTGTTCTATTGATTATTTTGAGCTGTAGGCACTTGAAAAACAGCAAATGCGGGGAGATACGGTCTCTGAACTCCCCTTATCTGCCTCAAGATAAATCCTCCAAAGAACCCAATTGTAATAAATCCCCTCCCTGGGAGTTTCATCAACCAGGGAAGATTGACTCTTATCAAGAAAAGACTGCAAAGTGGACACCACACAGAGGCAAACTGTCAAACTGCGTATCTCTCATTTATTCTTCAAGGCCATTTGTCTTTCCTAAAAATTGTTTGCTCTCCCCTAAAAAGACTTCATCCCTCTCCTTTCCCTATTAAGATGGGATTTAAGCCTGAATTCTAAGTCACCTTGGTGAGTTACTCATTTTTCCTGGGCTTCTCCCCTGTACACATAATGGATGTATACATGTTAATAAAGCTCTGTTTGTTTTTTCCTTGTTAATCTGTCCTTTAGTAAAGGGATCCCAGCTAAAACCTCTGAAGGTTCAAGGGAATATTTTTTTTCCTTCCCCATAGTATATAGGAAGTTTTACATTAGTCCATTTTTTAAACTACATAAACACTTTTTAGGAGCTCACTTCTTTTGGTAGAGGAAAATTTAATCTGAGTCATTATTGGGACCCTCCTTTTATTCCCAGATGTTTTACTCAGAAAAATACTCTGGGGCCAGCCGCCTGTTCACGTCCTTCTGTCTCTTCCCTCTACCTTTCTCTTCTCTCCCACTTTTGTCTTTTCTCCACCCTACCAGCCTGCACACCCAAGGACGTTTTGCCCTTCTTCTTTGGGTTAAGAAATATAACATAACATATGCTTTCTCAAAAGCCAGGTCAGGACTTTTTCATCGGTTTCTACTCTGAAGCCCAGGAAAACAGAATCTTCTATATATGAGGAGGGGGAAAGGTAAAGAACAGGACACGCACATCGAAGGTTGTCTTCCTCTGCTCTTTCCCTTCCCCTTTCCTTTCTCCCCTCCCTCTACCCTTCACTTCCCCTCCTCCACCTTTTCCTTTCCTTCCTCCTCCTCTTACCTTCCTTTCTTTCCCCTACCCTCCTCACGCCCTCTCCTCCCCAGTCTTTCCTCTTCTGTCCCCATTTCCTCCTCCCCACACCTCCCCACCAACTCCCCCTCCTCCACCTTCCTTCTGATCTACTTTTCCCTTCCTCTTCCTTTTACTTTTCCTCTCTCTCTCTCCCTCACTTCTCTATAGAGGAAAAGCAAAGGAAAGTAATGCACCAGTAAATCGCTAGGCTGTGTTTAGGTAATCCGTTCTCTTCTTTCCGTGAGGTATATATTTTAGTTGTTAGAAAAATTCCCCAGTAATGCACAGGGACTTTTCTTTCCACTATATGTAGTATTTTCTGTTTTTCTGAGCAAAACGCAAGGGCTCATTATAAACAATTTGCCAGCTGGTGTTTAAATTCATTTAGGAACCAAAATTTCTATAACCCATTCACTTTTTCCTAGATCAGAATTTCTCTTTCACTGTTAATTCACATATATTTAAGGCAATTTATTGTTTTTTTCTAGCAGGGGAACTTCAACAGTTTTTTAATATGTGGTTATATGCCAATTTGCCCCCAAAGTCTTCTGATTATTTACAGAAAGAATCAGAATTAACAAAAATTTTCTACTTTTTTCTGTATTTAAATATAAGTGGGGGGAAAAAGAATCAGACCTGAACTACAGTTTTCAAAATTATTTTATTGTTATTATTTTTTAATTTTACTTTATTGTTGACAGTATTACAGATGTCTTTCGTTTTCTCCCTTCATATCTCCCTCCATCCAATACCCACCCCACCTCAGGCCTTCTCCATGCTATTGTCTGTGCCCATGGGTTATGCATAGATGCATATATAGTCTTTGGTTAATCTCTTTCTGTCTCCTCCCATCCAACACTCTCTTACACCCTTGAGATTTGTTATTCTGTTTTATGCATCCATACCTCTGGACCTATTTTGTTTGCCCGTTTATTTTTTCTTTAGATTTCACTTATAAATGA